CCATCTCTGGTCTTAAGTGTGGCTTTTCTCCTGAGACTATAATTGGGGTGGACTTATTTTTGCAACATGGGCTTGAATGAGTCTGCACACACACAAAAAAATGATTTTCCTAACAAATTAACAAATCTTTTTTGCAATCAATGGCCCACCTTTGTGGGAGTACTTTTGTATTATAGCATCTCATAGAAAATGTTGATTCTGAAAGGAAACTAAAGGTTTTCTGACAAATGTAGAGGGGTGCACTCATTTATGCTGAGCACTGTATCTTGAGACAGTGAACCAAACTGCTGAGCCCCACCCCTCACACACACTCTCTAAGATTTAAAGAGGATGGTCCGATAGAAACAAAAATATGCAGTGAGCGTTAGTGTTTTGGGGGGGTGAAAATGCCCCGTTGATGTCAGAGGAGAATGGCAAGGCTACTTCGAGTTGACAGGAAGTCAACAATAACTCAAGCAACCAAAGTTTGCAGAAGAGCATCTCTGAACTCAAATGGGCTTCAGCGGCAGAAGACCACACTGGGTATGATTTCTGTCAGCTAAGAACAGGAAACCAAGGCTGTGATTCACACAGGCTGACAAAAACTGAGTGATAGATCGGAAAAATGTCAGATCATTTTCCATTTCTGCTCCACCATTCAGATGGCAATGTCAGGAATTCATCCTGCCTTGTATCAGCAGTACTTTCTTGATCTCTTCAGTATCAACTAAGAAACCTTTAAATCCTAACAATATATTTTTTAAAACCTTTATTACCACAGTGTGCAGTGTTTTCCTATGGTTGCTTGTAGTAGGATGAAGCACCATGTCACTCAGCTCAAATCATGTCAAACTGGTTTCTTCAACCTTTCAGTGAGTTACTAATCTCACTCCAATAGAGCACTTTTGGTACATGGGGGAACTGGACTCACATAATGGATGCAGTCAACAAATCTGCAGCAATTGCGACGGCCCATATCGAAGTATGGGTCAAAATCTTATGTTTTTGAATGTGTGCCATGAAAAATCAGCAGCTCGGAAGACAAAGCAGCTACTGGTTACTAGAAAGGTGTCCCTAATGAGGTGGCCAGTGGCCTGTACATGTTCTATCAGGCCAAAAATGAAACTTTAATGTCTGTGCCATCAATAATCAGCTTTCTGGAAAAAAAACAAAACAAAAAACTGAGAAGCATTGTAGTGAGTCAAAGGTAACGACTGAAGAAATCAATGTGACTCAAGACAAGAGGAAATTACATGTCTTAGTCAGGCAGTTCTCAATTCCCCTGCCCCAGAAAATAGTGAAGATTCCAGTGTATGGTGACATAATGACACACGGTACCATTATAAGATTTTCTAGTGTTTTCTTTTACCCAATTTAGAAACAAATATTCCAGTATAACTAGATGAATGCACAAGGTTAAAAAGTAGCTTCTTAACTGTAGGATAAATGAAAACTTGGCAGTATACACACGGGACTTCATACCAATAAGTCCGCTCTTTAACACCATCGCTACATAGATTGTGTGGTGAATTCAAAGTGAAGCACTAAGAGCTAAAATGCTAAAATGAATGTAATAAACACAGAAGACATGCTAGCATCATGTATTTATGTAGACAAAACACAGAACCTGAGATAACACATTCCCAGTATCCACAACAGGGGAAAGAAAAAGAAAATCTTTGATTATTTGGAATAAGAAGATTTCAGTCCATCAGCATTTCATCAAGATGCTTAAACTAGGAGATGTTAGTCAAAAGATCAAAATAGTCAACTTTCAGTTCACATGCAAACAGAACTATCAGAGGCTAAATTATGGAGGAAACCTCCTCTGTAACACCCTCTGCTGGAAGTGCATAAAAATCCACCCGATACATGTGACATTTGCCTGACAGAACAAAACTAAAAATGACAAGGGTCTTTTTTTTCCTTTTTAGCTTATGTAGCAGGTATTTGGGAAAAAAGGGTAAAAAAACAGACATCTCTACACATACATATACAACAAAGTACAAAAGTGAGTATAAAAATAAGAATTGCGACTCAAAAGTAGTAGTTCAACTTGTGCAAACATGTCTGCGAGAAAATAAAACTATATGATCGTTAACTTGTCAGCTTGGCAGAACAAAATGATCAGAGAAACTGAGGACGACAAGTCTATACCACTAAAACTGGTTAGGTAGTCAACTAGGCTGTGAAACCTCAAAACTAAAACGTACCATCGGGCACAGATCTAGAACGTCAATAAACAACATGCAACCCTTTTTTGCAAGTAAACAAGACATTTTAAAAAAGAAAGAAAGTACTACTCGTAAAGCAAGAATGCATGTGCTGAAGCCATTAGGTGCTGATGCTACCTGAACTTCTACATCTACAAAATTCCCTTTACAACAATCAAAATGTCATTTCATGTTGTCCTTTAAATCAGGTAAAAACAAAGTACCCACTGATTTGTCACGCTTCGTACACTAGTGACTGGTGCAAGGAAATAAGTGAACAGCAGATAAATATCTTTGATAAGATGAAAAAAATAATTAAACAGATGCAGTTCAAAAATAAGGAACAGTATCAACAAAGTTACTGTTGTGGCGTCTTTGAGGAAATAACTGTGCAGGAAGTGAGCAGTCAGTCAAACAAATCAAGTGAAAGTTTAGAGAAAAATAAGTGAGCAGTGCTGCTGTAAGACAGCACAGTGTCTCAATTATTTTTGGCTAAGACAAATGTAAATATCTTTGGGTAATAACAGAACTAAATTTGTTTAGTTTAGAAGTGTTGCAATTAAGGAAACTCAGAGAGCACTCTCCTTTGCATTGTGACTCATTTTCTCAATAACCTTCAACATCAAGCCCTTTTCAGACATCCAGTGGTTTCCTTTAATCTCGCTGCATCTCAAAGTCTCAGATTTGCTAACAATTATCCATCACTTTCAACATGACGAGTGAATACCTGATTACAATGGCTCGCATGCATTTATTAATTTTTTTTGCTGATCAGCTCACTACAGAGCATCCTAGATAACAACAAGCAGCACATAAACAGCACTTTATCTGTTACTAGTTTGTATAAACACTAAATTATTCCTCCCATAAGCATTTTTTGCTATGCCTAATTCAAAAGCAGCTCTCTGTAGCAGTGTTGTGTTGTAGGGGAAGCTCCAGCAGCACAAACAGATGACCCATTTGTGGTTGTGCAAGATTTAAGCCTTTAAAACTATGATTGCTCTCAACTAGAGTCGATGCTGGAAATATAAATTCAAGTCTTTTGCAGGGGTGCACAAGTCTAGATGACCATTGAATGAACATTAGTGATGCCATCGCATGGCTGAAAAGGGCAACAATGTTATTTGTTTGTACCTGTGTGGCAAAAGAATGAGCTAAGATTAAAAAAAAAAAAAGAAAAGAAAAGAAAAAGAAATCTAGACATCTGTCCCAGACCACTCTGTTCATTTCCAAATAAACTACCTGGAGCCGTTTTTATAAAGCTAGCCCCTCTCCAGAACTATCTCCCATCACAGTGGTGGCTGCAGGAGGATCTGGACGAACAGCCCAGGTGTTAGAGGAGACCATCTGACAGGAGCTGGTTCCCTGGTTCAAGCAGTTGCTTGCTGGAGAGCCAAAGCTTCTGAAAAACATGTCCATGGAGGGGAGCAGGGGCTTAGGGAGGCTGACTGGGCAAAAGGCTGAACCCCCATAGGGGGTGAAGTTTACCTTGTTGGGGTCAGGGCAGGAGGAGATGAGGGCCATCGTGGGTTTCTGTGGAGAGCTAAAGAAGAAAAGGAGAAGAAAAACTTATTTCCATAAAAGTGATGCAAAAAGTTTGGTTGCATTCAGTGCACACAGTCAGATTTCTTTCATTTAGTTCAGCAGCATTTCTTTATCATGTGGAAAAATTGAGACATAATGTTGACTCTGCACTTCTTTTTTTTAATGTTAAGATATCTCTGGAATTAAATGTGGTTAAACTTCTTTTCACTGACAGAAAGGGAAGTTTCACTGGTCCAGCAAACTTAAGATCAGAGTGACTTGTATGCAGCTCACAATGTAAAATGAGTTTGACATCCCTGATCTATGTAGTCGCTGCTTTTGCTTACATGTCAACATGCACAAGGCTTTACTCAAGCCAAAATTTTCCCCTAGAAGTCACGGACCTAAAGAAAAACTAAAATACCAGGCAACAGAGTTTTGTAATTGTTGCTTCCTTTTAATGAGTAACGACTAGTAATTTCACACTGTAAGATTCAGACCAAGTTAAAAACAAGGAGGACTTCGAATGCTTTAGTGCTGACAACATGAAGTGTTGCAACATCATCAACTTGTCGGTTTGGCAGAACAAAACTCCCAAGCTGAACAAACAAACTGCTTTGAGGGGGGACTGTTCGTACATCTACAGTTAATGCCACTAACTCACTCTAACAGAGTACAAGGTAAACTCTGACTCAACTAAAAACTATGACATCATACAGGAAATCACATTCAACTTTGGGTAAAGTTTGGTTTCTAGTGTTTATTTTTTAAATGTGACCACCAGAGGGCATCTACATGCTGACAGTGTTAAATGACAGAGAGTATACAGTATTTGTCTAATTATATTTCATTATCCAGAGGTGATTCATCTGTCTCCCTCTAGCATGCAAACACAAAACAAAATGAATAAAAACCTACCTGATCTCCTCCCACACTCTCACCCTTTCACAGCCCTCTGGAGGTTTTCTCTGGAAGCAGCAGCTTTTGTTGGGCCCGGGAGATGAGGCGTTCAGGAGAGAAGAAAGGTCAGCCTCATTCTGGGAGGAGAACGGAGACAGAAGCCCAATGTCTGTTGAGCCTGAAAAGAGGAGAGAAAACATTTGTGAGATCGATCTACCTATCGATCTAGATACGCCTATCAATCTAGATATATATGATTTGAATGTTCTGAGGGGCAGAAACTGTTTACTCACTTCTTATCAACCTCACCCCCTTAACATCGTCCTGTCATTTTCTCTCAAACTGTCTTCATTTTCTGACAGCTTGGTTTCTGGCTATGACTGATCGACATTATAAAGTTTTCAGCTAGAGCCCATCCTTTCCAAGCCTAGATACACTGTGTTATGTCTGAAGTCATTTCTGGACTCAAAGGCTCGTGCAGACAATGTGGTGATGATCACCAAGTAATAATTTGCTGGCACGCAGTACATTACAAACACAGGATTTTGGGGGGGGATGGGACGGACTCCCTAACAATCACTTATTATTATTATTCATAGGGTTTCACTTCACCCATGTTCCCCAAATTGTTTATTCTTCAAATTGAATTTCAAAGGACTGAAAATAAATTAAAACCTTAATAGCAGTTTGCATTCTTTTGACATTTAGAAATCAATTTATAATTTTCCTGATGCACAACTAAAGGAAGTCAAATTTCAAGGTCTCAGCTAGAGATGCCACCTCATTCATACGTTCCTTGCCAAGTCCATGATTAATGTCAGAAAGAACCTATA